ACATTTATTTTTATAGTTACAATGTACACTGAAGATGGCACTTAATTTCGTTGTATGAGATGCAATGACAATAAAGTAAACTAAACTAAATTATTCAATCAATAAAAGAGGATTTTATAATTATTTAATTTGAAAATCTGTCAGAAGAATCTATTTACTCTCCCAAAGGCTAAAAAAAGTTAGAACCTGACAGAAGAAAACTTACAATGAGAGCTGTAGAGGCTTCATAATCTTACATCTTTCTAATCTTCCCTACCCATTGAAACTCTTACCCGTTTACTACCACAATGTTTCTTTGTCTCCAATTCTTAGCATCCTCACCTATAAATATTGGCTTTTGATTCACTGGCTGCCAGCCAAAGAACTCTAGAAACAACAAAAGACTTCTTGTTGTTATTGTTCTGTAGTGATAAAGTAACTTACTCAAAATGGGTGGTGTAGTCTCAGGAAAGGACTTAGAAAGTATTAGGCTAATGCACAGTATGATATATGTATGTGACATTGCAGAAAAAAATTGCTCTCTATTTTAACTGCAGTAGGTGGAAACAACAAAGGCAGAAATATTGTATTGCTAAACTGCAGAACTGATATAAAGCAGGAAAACAAACTTTCTGAATTTAACTCATAAATTCATTTATACTTACATCCATGCCAGTCATTATTTTTCATTTTTTTCCCCTTCATTTCATTTTAGTTCATTGACACTGTCACTCTGCAAATAGCCCAGGGAAAGGAAAATATCTGTGCAACTGTCTGTATTTGTCAGCTGGAGTTTCTAGACACTTTATTTAGTATTTTCAGTTAGTGTCACCTTGAAAAATTTATCAGGTACTTGTGATAAGGAAGAGGATACTCAAATGAGGAAACATAACTAAATCCTTTTTAATAATACAAAGCTGACAGCTTGCATGAAGAAAAGAAAAGCATGGGTCAATGTTGCCTTCCATTTTTAAAACTCCACTTTCCTATATGTATGTATATATGGTATGTATATGTATATGTATAAATATAAATATAAATCTCACTCTCCTCCTTTCTGTTACGCTTGTTCTGTTATTTTAATTACCAAAGATAGTTTGGAAAGGTAGAGTATAAGTGATGAGAACAAGTTGAAATAAGGGCTTTAGCTTTTAGATAAAGAACAAGGTAGGATGTCCTCTGAAAGAGTACAAAATTAATCTACACATGAAAATATTGTGAATTTTACTAAATTCTGTCCCCGGTATAGGGTGGTCTATAAATAAAAACAAACAACATTTTCCCCAGTGTATGATCAGCTTGAGATCCAAATCCAAGTTATTTTTATCTCTCAAAGGACATCAATAAAATTAACATTGTTTAGACTCTGCATATATACTCACTCATATGCTACATGCCAGATACTTTCCTCATGATGGTTTGTGCACTCTAGTCCAGTATAATGGATTATGATCAAGAGGTTTAGAATTGTGTTGATTAAATATAAACAAAATATATTTTAGTAATTGAGAAATGCTGCAACTGGAATCAGTGGGTGAAATAGCCAAATGAATAATTACACATTGGCTAGATTTCTTGATTTAGAAAGTCATTTTCTTCAAAATATTAATCATAGAAAAGTTCTCCTCTATTGAGAGAAAAGTAACTGCATAATTTTACTACCATGGAAAATAACATCATTCTGACAATTTCTCATTCATCTGTTTGACTGAATATAAGTTTCAGCTGTTTTCAAAATGCACTTTAATTAAGGAAAAAGAATTCCATGGGAGAGCTTTTAATACAGTAATTTTACATAAACACTGTTTTTTTCTACTACTTAAATTACATTTTGAAACACACTTCAATTTGTGAAGGAAGAAGACAAATACATCTACTTTATAAAGACTTACTATTTTTAAGATTGTTTATATAAGAAGAAATTGCTGGTACAAATTGGGCCCAGCAAAGCTATGCCTCTATTGTGATACAGGCATTACTTCTTCCCGCAGAACTAATACAGATGTAGAAAAGTTCTTATTTTACATAATCAGTATAATTTCATTATTATGTTTATTATCTCCAAGCTACTTTTTAAGAAAAAGCTGCGCTTTGAAATCCTGCACTAACTTCAAATTATCAATTTCATTCCTAAGATCTATTATATTTGAAGATAATTTTTTCAAATGATACTAGATAATTTATAACAAAAGAAGACTGTGGGCATGAGAATTACCAGACAAGTAAGTACATGTTTCTTTAGTTAATGCTATCTAGTTAGATATATAATTTTCTGAAATGGAAAAAGAATGCTCTGCAATGTTCAAGGAGGCAATCAATGTACTCGTACTGTCTCAATAACAATTGAATGCAGGAACAGTATTCTGTAAATAGGAAGAAGGTGCTCCCAAAATGAGCTGCATATATAATGAAAGAAAGGAAAGTGGGAAGCCAAGAAGTGCACACAGTGCAAGATATTCCTGCATATGTAAACTTCTATATTTGTATAGAAATTATGGATAGGATTGGAGAAAATGTATTGATGCTGAAAGTTTTAAAAATAGGAGCTTGATATCACATAATAGTGTATGTTTCCAAACCCAAGTGCATATATGCATAGAAACTCATGCTGTGTATGAAAATAAATCAGGTTGATTTAAAACTATTAAAATACAGTAAGAGATAATACAGTATGAATCATCTCTCTACTTAAAGCGGTGAAATCACATGCATCAATTTTAGTGAATAAAAATTCAATTTCTGTGTAGATTTGATTGATGGTTCTCTAATAAGGTTTTTCTTTTTGTACTGCAACAAAGCAGTGAGGTAAGTTGGCCTAAGGAAGAATCAGTGGTTTAAAATCATCAGTGAGCAAAATGGTCAAGCAAGGACCTGCACATGGTCTCCTCAGTCAAAGTGCAATATTTTAACCATTACACCCACTGGCTCTTCTGTTCTTAACTGTAATGTCATTTCCATGAGCAATCACTTCTTTACTCTCCTCATTTTGACTTCTCTTAAGCTACAGTCGCAACCTCTGCCAAATGTGAGGGAGGCGTAAGCAAAGAAAACCACAAACCTCAGCTTACAAGAAGATATTTTGATTCAAATATGAACATTCTACACTGAGGTTAATTATTGTCTTGGGTAATAACAAGGGAACATTGCACAGGCTCAGCAGTGTATTGACTGGGGGTGGGGGGAAGGGGTATTCTAACACTGTGCTTATGTATTTGCTGGATGCATCCCTTGAGATATTATTTATTATTTACTCATTCTTAATTTGGCAGGCATGACTGAGAAAATCTGTGCTTCAGCGGAATAAATTCCATCTGTCTCCTTGAAGTGCTGCCTGCCCTCAACAATTACTGTTTTCTTAACTTGCTTGAGAGACAATAAACTGCAAATAAAAGCAACTGCATGTTGTCTGGCTCCTCTTCCTTCAGCTCAGTTCTATTTGCCAGCTTTAAGGGGAGGACAAACGGGGCTATTTTGTTTGTAAAATTAAATTTCCTATGCAAAGCTGAAAGCAAAGTGAGCAGGAAATGCTGAAAAATGTGCATAGTTTCTTTTATCCTGGAAGTTCATTTTTTTGCATGCAGTACAGGGTTTATAGTAAAAAGTTTATCAGATCCCCCCCATTCCCATCCCAATATAAGCTCCCCTTATATCCTTCTCCATAACTGTGACACATTTAGGACCTTGTGACAAGAATGCAACACCCTTCCGGCCCCAGTCATTGGTGACTGTCCTTGGAGACCTACACAAAATTGCTAAAAAATGCAATATTATATGTCAAAGAAGACTATGAAGTACATGAACAGTATCCCTATTACCTGTTTTAATAACTTACATCAACTTTAGTTTTTTCCCTAGATACATGGCTTTTGGGCATATCCCTCCAGGCATAGAATTGAAAACATCAGCTGCAGTTCTTAGCATATAAATGGCTGGCTTTCCAATTCTTATGTACACAACTGAGTAAAAAAAACCTTACAAGGAAAATAATTTGACTCTCTATGTAGATTAATAGCTCAATTAACAACACACATATCTCTATTCAGGAATATGATCCATTACATTCACAGAGCCTTTCTACCAGGTAATTGTGTATAGCATTTACTAAGCCGAATTTTCTGACAGAACACAATATTGTACGGTACAGAATTCTGTGACCAAAATCTTCATCCTATGTTCCCTCTTCACACAATTCATCATGAGACTGAGAACTAAGTGCATGTCCTGACTTTACTTCCCTCATTCGTCAGAACTCTTTGTCCATAGTAGGTATGCGGCATGTGTGTATTTAGTATGGAGCTTTCTCAAATCATATAAGCTCTTATTATTTTTAGAGATCTAAACTTTATTTCTGAACTAGACATTCCATGTCCTAATAGCTCATTGTTTCAGAGCAATTTACTTATGATCAAGGGTGGGCAAAAAAAACCAGTGGGAGCAGGCGTGTCTTCTGATTTCCTGCTGGCTTCCCCATTGAGTTTCATTGTAGAACATTGGATTTTTTTCCCTTCCCTTCTCTTCCGGCAGGTAAATGGCTGCTGCTGGGTGGGAGAGGGAGTGAGGGATTGCAAGACTAGCTGGGAAATTGTCACAGAACATTGAAAATGAAGATTGTGTTACTGCAGCAGCAGCCCAGCAGTGCAACAGCAGCTAGTAGAACTGAAGCAGTCACAACTTCCTCAGATTTAATTCTCTTGGGAGTCATGGGTCCTGGATTTTGGACACATTCTCTAAGTTTTCCCATTTAAGGTACTTTGATTCAAAAACTGTCAACCTATGATGCACTGTTTTTCTCAGTTAATTATCATGACGAGAGTTTTAACAGTATATAAATAGATTGCATGGACAGACAAATAACTACAGACCCCTCCTTGATGTACATATTCTCTTTCAAATATTGAGAGGAAAAAAGCTGCTAATGGGCAAAAATAGAGGGACAGGATCAACAGGATCATCTCTATCTTTCCTTCACTGTATAAAGCTTGAATAATTGAAGAGAGCACCAGTATTTTCTGAATACTTACTTCTTGGTTCTCGAGGTCCATCCACTGTTATCTTGATAGCTCTGTGGTACGTGGCTACTTGTGGAGGATTTGTGAAGACTGTGATAGTCAATGTGAAGCTCTTCCCTGAAACAGGAAAGGAAAGTTTCTATCATATCTGATTATAATAAAGCATTCTGCACTCTTAATAAGCACTTGCACAAAATATTCTTAATTCAGAATAGCTGGCTTGAAATTGAGATGACTATTCTAATGAAGTTTTTTAAAAGTTGAAATAACTCTTTCAGATTGAAACAGCATTGCAACAACTAATTTTGTCCATCTTTAATTTTTTTTCCAACCTTTTATTTTTATCTTTTACAAACATCTCTTTTGGTGAATAGTACAATTCCAGGTTTTTGCATTTCCATACAAACATGACCATAATTACATATCTATCTTACATATTCGTTTTCTTATCATATCAGTACACTTTCCATTTTCTATAAATTTTCACAAGTATTCTTATGTTTTCCACATTTATTTTATCCATTTTTAATTCATATCTTATTGTTTTTCTTTAATTATACTCTTATCTCCTTTATATAATATCTTAAAATTCTTATTTCTTGATCTATTTTCATTATACTTTTATACTTTTATTTGTCATATTTGCAATTTCATCACATATTCTTATTTCATTATTAGTAAATTCCATATTAATTTTAATAATTCCAAACATTTCCCCCTTAATTGCTCATTTGAGTGCACCACCCTTTTATCTTATACATCATACAGTTTACTCCCCTTTAACTCTTATTAAAAATTACCATCATGTAATCATTTTTAGTGATCACCTAGGCAGTACATATCTCATGTACATTTTAGGTTAGATTCCACATGGTATTCTTTTCTTTATTCTAAGACAGCTATTGTTTCTAATACATTGATCTTTTCAGCTAATTGTAGAAACTGATATTTGTCTTTTTAATAAAATTCTCATAGTTCATTTTAATTAAATTTTAATTTAATTTAATGTAATTAACATTCTTATAATAGTCCCATCTCTACATGTATTCCAGTTAATTTAACAATAATTCTTAGAAAATAATCAAATAGAAAAAAAAACATCAGTCCCAATCATTCTGTTTTTTTTACAATCTATATTTTTACACCACTTTATGCATTAACTTGTAGAATCTCCTTTCATATTCTCTGACTACCCATCATCTCTTGGTCTTCTACCCATAAATCTTCTTTTCATTTTTTTGGTTTTCTAAATCCCCTTTTTTTCTGGTCCTTTCCCTTATTCCTCTTTTCCTTTATTTTTCCCCTCCATTTCTGACTCCAGTTTTTATCCCCCTCTCTCTTTTGAACTTTCTCCTGTAATTCGCTTTTATGCTGTTTCCTTTTTCTTTGTTTGACTTTCCAAACAATTACCTCTTTAATTGTCCCCACAAACCTCCAGATTTTAATTTCCATGCTTCCCCCCCCTGCTTCAATGTTCGTTGTGTCGTTTGTTCATTGAGGCTGGCCTCTTCTTTAATCAAATCCTCCACTTCTGGTTCTCCTTGTTCATCTTTGTTCTCCAATGATGCCATTTCTAGCATTCGTATAGCAATGCTGGACAATTTCACTTTTCTCCATATCATTTCCCTTATACTTCTTAAGTTCGATTTTATTTCCAAACAGTATTCTGCCATTTTTGTGCACCTCTTTTACTTTTTTCTGTTCTTTTCTTTACCCTTTTCTTTAGTATTTAAGTTCAGTCCAGTTATCCAGTAAATCAGCTTCTAACCATCCACTTCTGTTATTCTTTCAATTTTCCAGGGTCAAAATAGTCCAATGTTCATATATTTTTATTGTTAAGTTCCTTCTGTTAAGTTTAAATTTTTCTCAGTCACATAGTATTCCCAGGGTTCAGGCTTCTTTCTTCTTCCTTTATAGTATTCTAGTTTCACTTTTCAGGGTTTCTATCTTATTGTTTTCAAGGTTCCTCTTACTTTGTATCAAGTTCCAATTTTTAAGGAACCAAACACTTTTTAAAAAGTCACAGAAAAATGTATTTTATCATTAGGTGATAAAACACTCTCTGTTATGTCCAAGTTCCACCTTTTCTTTTCACTTTCCTTTCCCTTTTAGGGCTTTTAAGTTTTAAAAAACCAATAAATCCAAATATTGTATATTTTTTCTTTTGGGCACATACAAGTTCAGCTTTTAGTATGCCTATTTAATGCCAATTATATAATTTAATATAATCCAATTAACACGGATATCTTCTTCTAGATTCCTCTTTCAATTTAATTCTTTTTACAGTTCAAAGCCACTTTCACTTATGTCCTAATTTTTTCCCCACTCCCTCTGGTTGCCGCTTTTCCAATCCTTTTTTTAAAGTCTTTTTAAAGTTTTAAATCCAGGATACCTTGTGTTCAAATATTGCGCTTGATTTTCCTGGTCTCCACACTGTCCGTTTCTTCACTGCTCCTGCACGATCTTTGTCCTGGATAGCTCTCCTTCTTCAGGGTGGCTTTATTTTGCCACTGTTGCAGCCCGTCTTCGGGGAGTTTGCCTAGCCAAGGAGGCTCCCCTCGATTCAACAGACGGTTTTCTTCTTCTTTCCCATCCCTCCAAGGTGGTTCTAGACCCGTTTGGAGCCCTCTAACAGGAACAACATGGATTGAAGCAATGCAGGATTGCGGTCTTCGGTCCGTCCTTGAAGGAAAGGCTACCGGAAGTTGTCCATCTTTAATTGTAACGCCTTTAAATAAAGGACTGTGTTTCCACATATATTTGGCTTTCTTCTGATAACGCACACAAATATACCATACCTATAAGCTACCTTTTGGGGTTTTGTTGTGGGTTTGAAGTCCCAACATGAAATATGGAAGATGGAGGCAATTAATTTATTCATTATTTAATTTAATCATTATCAAAGTTAAATAAAGTAGACTGCTACCTTAGCAGTTATTGCAGGTTCAGGGTGATATCTTGAAAAAATTAAAGTGAATGTTCATAATGATTTTTCCCCAACGCTAATGCATTACATTGCTATGTATACAAACTTGGCTAGGAAGGTAAAGTTTAAAGTTTTAAGGCTGAAAACTTGCTCTGCAGTTCCGTAGTATTGATGATAATACTTTAATGCCTGCTATTTTATTTGAAAATTAACATCACCATTATCCTTCAGGTCTATGCTTTAGCTTAAACAAGACTATCTTTTTCTGAATCATGCCCTAACAATAAAAGAGGTCCATTTCTGCATTTGCTCATATTTGTTATTCACTGAAAATGGATCCTAAGTAGTCTGAAAATATCATATATGTTCCAATGCTAGAGATTGAGGAAAGGCTGCTTTTTAAAGAAGATGATATATTTTAACTCCCAATATGCCCAACAACATTAATTAATGATATTAACTTGCTGGAAAAATTATGTCTAGCATCCTTGGCCCCTCCAGAAGTCTCGCATATATTCTTATTTTGTATAATGAAATACACCAATGAAATTTATCAGTTTGGATCCAAAATTCAATCCTTATTTGCATGAGTATTATTTATTAGTCACTGAAACTTCAAAAAGTATGCAACATCCCCCAAACCATGTCTTAAAACATTTATGCAAATAAAATATTGTTCCCATACCCCTGGCAACTGAAAAGCAGATTCTCAGTTCCTACTATTCTGCTTTCTCTATAATTTCCTTCAGTGAAACAGGTCGTTGCTTGCAAAAATAAAGGAGAGAATGTAAGTTAAACAATAATACTGTAAATATAAATACCATAGAAAGTAGATATCAAGACATGTGGATGGTGCCTATTAGTGGTAATAACTTAAGACAGCAAAACCAAAGGTGCATAGTTTTTTTATGCATGATTACCAAAGACTACTCAGTAACCACATGCTGGATAAATCACAAGACCACAAAACTTTAAATTTACATGTCAGTTTGATTTTTTATTTTTTTATGTCAGAGTCTAAGACCATTTTTAACTATGCCTAATAATTACACATTTTGTTTTAATAGAGTTCCACCCAAGATAGGTTTTACAACATTGAGCCAATGAATACCCCCCCCACACACACACACATTAACTAGGGTGACTTATTTAAAAGCTGCTGAAGATCCCTACTATTATTTGGGAATTCTGTTTCAACTTAAAAAGATTAGATCACTAAAATGATTTATTTTAATATTTTAATTGTGGCAAATGCTACAAACTAGACATGTTTCATACATTCTACCATTTGTTAATAGAAAAACATGTAACATAAAAACAGAATTTCTTTTAAAATCCATATAAAATTACCAGAACTCTCAAATTTAACAGACCGCTATATATGCATAAAAACAGATCAGACTAGTTTCTGGCTACAGAATTAACTGTGTGGCACAAATGTCTCTGCCCTCTATCACTTAATTAAATTTCCTGATTTCCAGTGTCTATTACCTGAGAGAACTATCTCATTCTGCCTAAAGGCAGGGCTGGTGATACCAATGGAGGAACTTTTGTGAATTGCTTTAAAAATTCAGACAAGTTTATGCAGTGTTTTGGGAGTCTATAAAAAAATCTAAGGGCATTGATTTAGATCCACGTCTAGAGAACCACAGAAATGATCTTGGAGAAAGAATGCAATGAAGGCAGTTAACAAAACACGAATTAAGCCCAGAGAAGAAGGAAGATGTTAGAAAGAAATAAAAAATGATTGTGCTTTGATGCTCTTTGATCTAAGAAGAAAGAAGCAATATTGTTAGTCTTTCAAAATTCTGTAACCCAGGTCAATGGTGTTGGGCAGCACTTGTGCCCTTACTTGGATTGTGAATCCATGCACCCTACTCCTCTCGTCTGGATTACTGCAACATGCTCTACATGGGACTACCCTTGAAGAGTATTTGCAAGCTACACACAGCCCTGTGTGTCCTTAAGGCTGCATATATAACATTAATGTGTGAGCTGCATTAGTTACCAGTTTGCTTCCAGATCCAATTAAGGTGTTGGTTGCTACATTTAAAGCTCTACATGGAATGGGTCCAGGATATTTGAGGAATTCTCTCTTTCCAACGGGACTAGCCTGCCTCACTCATGCTAGTAGAAGAGGCCTGATTCCATCTGCTACGGAATTACAGGAGTGAGAATGGGTAGCTTGCAG